TATTTTAATTAAATTAAGATTGAAGATGCCTAGACCAGAAGGGAGTACCAAATATAGTGCTGACCCAGAAGGATTAGCAGAAACGGACAAAAGTAAGTGTTGGATCTGTCGGAAAGTCGGTCATTGGTCAAGAGACTGTACAATGAAAAAAAAGTTAGGTTGTGATGCTGAGGGGTATTTTGCACGTGACTGCACGGCACGACCATCTGTCAATAATGTGATGATGGTTAAAGAAGTAACAAATCCCTATCTCAAGCGTGGAAAGATTAATGAAGTTGAAATGACAGTGCTACTGGACACGGGAAGCTACTACACTTTGCTGAAATCTAGTATAGCATCACGTTGCAAGCTAGAACTGAGATCTACAAAAAAATCGTTGTATGGGCTAGGTAGTGTCTCAGTACCGTCAGTGAGTGCTGTAGGGAAGTCAGACGCAATTATAACTGTAGATAACGTCGAGGCTGGTCCAGTTAAAGTGTTGATTGTACCTGACGGCGTACAGCGGTACGATGTGATCATTGGTCGGAACTGGTTGGACCTAGATCCAGTTGCTTATAAGAAAAAAAGAAGGAAAGCTTGTCCTGTGTAAGACAAGATATGATATAGGGCTGCGTGATACATCGCTTATAACAATGCAAAATTAGTTGGACATTCTACAGGTACTGACGACAGTGCCAGGATGAAACCGCAAAGACCTCAAGACCGAAGATTTCAAATATATCAATACTGAAGTATCCGTGGAAGATCAGACAAAGCTGCTGTCATTAATAAATGAGTTTCGCGATTGTTTTGCTCTAAGGATCGAGGAGTTAGGCTGTACGAAGATGGTGGAAATGGATATTAAGGAGACAGAAGAAAGCGTACCGGTAACTAGACGACCATACAAAACCACGGTTGCGGATCGGGAAGCTATAGCTGAGATAATTGGAGAGTGGAAACGTCATGGCGTAGTGGTGGAGACGGACTCACCTTATGCTAGTCCAGTGGTCTTGTTGAAGCAAGGCGATAAAAACAGACTATGCGTGGACTACAGGAGGTTGAATAAGCAGATTATAAGACACAGCTTTCCATTACCAGACTTACAGGAACAAGTTGAGCCACTAAAGGCGGGACATTACTTCTCTCAGTTGGATCTAGTAACCGGTTATCTACAAGTGCCTCTGTCTGAAGCGGCTCAGGAAAAAATGGCCTTCATCACGCCTGATGATACGGGCCAGTTCACCAGGATGCCTTTCGGCTTAGCGGGAGCCCCTGGTGAATTTACGAGGCTGATGCGGAAAGTGCTGGGAAATCTGAAAGACAGAGTGGTCAAAAACTATCTGGATGACTGGGTGATAGACGCTGAAGACTGGCCAGATATGCTAACAAAACTCAAAATGGTGCTGGAGAAATTGAGGACTGCAAACCTCTCGTTAAAGCCATCGAAGTGTTCCTTTGGAGCAAGGAGTATTGAATTTTTAAGATTTGTTATAGGTGGAGGACAGATCAGTCCAGGAACGATGAAAAGTCAAGCCATCGGAAAATTCTCAGCCCCAAAAGATGTCCACGGTGTGCGCAGATTTCTTGGCCTCACTGGGTTCTTCAGGCGATTTGTCCGGAACTACGCTACCTTGGCGGAACCTCTATCAAGGATGACTAAAAAGGACGTGGTGTTCGAATGGTCGTCGGCTCGTCGCCCCAAGAAACTGCATTTACGGAGTTGAAATGTATATATTTGCTGATAAACCTATATTCTGTATGTTTGATCCAAAGGCAGCTGTCACTGAAGTCCATGTGGACGCAAGTTCCGTTGGACTAGGAGCAATGTTGCTGCAGAGCAAGGAAGAAGGAGCACAGCTACAGTTAGTATATTGCATTAGCAAGAAGTTGGGCATTGCAGAGTCGCATTATCACTCGAGCAAATTAGAATTAATGAGTATAGTGTGGGCAGTGGACAGATGGCGTCATTTCTTGTTGGGCGTAAGCTTTTCTGTTGTGACTGATTGTAAAGCGTTGGTTTATCTGAGAGAAAATAGGGCTACCAAACCACAAGTCATGCAATGGTATGACATACTACAAGAGTATGACTTTGATATACACCATCGTCCGGGATCGAAAATGCTACATGTAGATGCTCTGTCACGGGATCCAGTATCAGACCAGGAGGGTGAAACACTAGATGAAGTGTTGGCTGGTCGATTGGATGTATGCATTTCACTGAAAACTGAAGACAAGGTACGGATGGCTCAGCATGTGGATGAAGAGTTGCGACAGATTTATGACATATTACAAAAACCTGAGGAGCAGAGAACAAAGGCAGAAAGGAGTCTTGTGCGCGAATACAGCTTAGAAGGAAAGTTACTGTATAGGTGGTACCAGGACCGACTACTGTATGTAATGCCCAGGGGGGCCATCGACCATAGCTGCTTTTTGGTCGTTTGTCACCGACTTTGATTTAAATCTTTTTTCAACCAACATTTTGATATTTGAAAAAAAAATCGAATGAACAGTCAAAACAGTAAAAAGAGCAAAGGTTTATTAAAATGCGGGAAATGTTACGTACACAATACAAACTGTTTTTTCTTCCATGATAAAAATAAAAATTTGCAACGTTGCCGCTGTTTATCGTAGAAAAATTATTCCCATACAGATCACAGATTCGTATACGAATATAAATGTTTTGTGAATACTATTTTCCATTCGTATACGAAAATGAATCGTGTGAATTGTTCGTATACGGATCTTTTTCGTACGAGTTTCTGAATAGCCTCCCAGGAGCATGCACAAAAGCATTGTGGTGGCAGCACACGACCTGGGAAGTCATCTGTCGGTTGATAAGATAGTCAGTAAGATTACTCAGGACTTCTGGTTTGTAGGGCTCCATCGGCCATCGCTATGTGAAACTTCATGCATGGAGTGTTTAATGACAAAGAAACCAAGAGGATGACAACCTGGCCTGCTGCAGCCCATACCCCCAGGTCGGAGGCCGTTCGAAGTGGTTCATGCTGACCATGTAGGGCCGTTTGTCACGAGTGCCGAGGGGAACAGGTATATTTTGGTGTTAGTGGACAATCTCACTAAATATGTCTGTTTATTTCCAGTTAAAGATACCAGTACAGAAGGAGTGGTGTATGAAATGGAGGAGTTTGTGAGCAGGTTTGGCCCGCCTAAGAAGTTGATTACAGATCGAGGCACCTGTTACACATCTAGTCGGTTTGAAAGCTACTGTAAGTCACATGGAATCGTACATATTCTAAATTTGACTCGTAGGCCACAAGCCAATGGGCAAGTGGAGCGCATCAACAGCACCATACTAGCCATGCTAATTTCCCAACCAGAGGAAGAACAGTGGGACAAATTATTAGCAGATGTACAACAACGACAACTTGTCGTTTACACAGACACACACAAAAAAAACAACACATCATTGCAAAATCAACAGATTCATCGCTCCATTCACAATCTACCACCTATCGTGGCATTACATTTAAAAATATGTGAAAATGAACATAAAATATATTTCGCCGTGTCTATATCCCAGACAGTCGGGTCTTTATTAAAGACCCGACAACTTTGATAAGAAATGCCCGTGATAACAATATAACATTGTTATAATAACAATGATAATTCGATAGCCGATAATTAATTATAGCAGCTTTTAAAATTTGTTTGCACCATTATTATTATTTTATTAATGTATAGTATCTTAATTATATTTTAGAAATAGATTATTCGTGAATTATGTGAATATTAATAAATATTAAATGTGGATATTATATATTTACTTTTAATAAAAAAAAAATTATAATATTATAAGGAAATTTTATGTTAACCAAAGACAGACATAGTTATGGATAGAGGGATATGTGTGCCATTTTTGTGTTAACAAACAATATTATAATTATTTTATAATTGTCTAAAATCTAAAAAATAATAATTCAGTTATATCAGTCTTCAATTGAAAATATAAAAATAAAAATGTCGATCTTTTGTCACTAAAAAATATAAAAATAAAAAATTCCACAATTTGTCACTTAAAAACATAAACTATGAAACTTTAGTTATATAATAGTCTTTGCTAAACAATCTAAACATAAAAAAAATTTGAAATAATTATTCATCAGTTTATCACATATGTAATGTATTTGAATGATTAATAAAAATTATTTATAATAATGATTCATAAATACAGTTTATAAATATATATATAAAAAAAAAAACAATTTATTGTAATTTATTTCAAGATCATTCAATTTAGTGGATAGGAACAATGRAAATATTWAATAATGTAACCTTAGGTATTTAATAAGGTGACGCGTACAAGTGAAAACAATTATAATAGGTATGATCGGGAGTGGGTCACGTCTTCGAATGTCATGTGTTCGAAGGTCATGTTTTCGAATGACGAGTGTTAGAAAAGTTATTTGTTCGAAAAGATATATGTTCGAAAAGTCATATGAACGAAATAATATATTAAACATCATTATTTTATTTTTAAACCTAAATTTTCACAGCCTACCCGAGTAATATCGTTTAATAAAAGTAATAAAGATAATAGGTAGATAGTAGCTAACATTAATAACACCTTATTGGTATAATGACTATTATACCTAGAGTGGTGTTGTCTAGTAAGTTAGTATACAACAAAATGCGATTGTAGTCTGAATTGAAGCTTAGTTTGTTGCAAATTTAAGACGTTTTATGTAATTTAACTTTTTATTTTAATAAAATGTGTTCTATAGAAGTTATAAAAAGTATACATGGAGGTAAAGTACTTAGTGTAAATAATTTTTTATATATATTAAATAAAAATTATAAAAGAAAACGCGATGACCAAAACGTTTTTTACTGGACGTGTTCAACTWAATGTGGAGCAAAAATTTGTACTGTTGAAACATTGAACGGAAAACACGAAATCGACGAGTTTTCTACATTTTCGGAAAATCAACACTCTCACGCAGCGGACCCAATTGCTATTGAAGCAAAAAAAATTAAAGACAATATTAAACAGCAAGCATTCATATCAAATGTTGAAAAACCAATTCAAATATACCATGCCGCTATTTCAGGTACTACAAAAACTATTTCATCTCATATTACTAAAGAATCAGCAAAACAAATTGTCAAACGTCATCTTCGTATTAACCTAAATCAAAATGAGCCCAAAACAATTCAATCAATAGATCCTCCACAGACATTATGTACAACATTATCTGGAGAATATGTTTTAGTAAAAAAAAACCGAATCTGTTTTATTATTTACAACAAAAGAAAATTATAAATATCTCTAGGAATCTAAATGTTGGTTAGCCGACGGAACATTTAAATCTTGCCCAAATATTTTTCAACAGCTTTATTGTATACATGCATCTATTAAACGTGGTAGTGAAGAAATATATGTTCCATTAGTGTATTGTCTTCTAGTTGGAAAAAGTCAATCAATATACAGTGAAATGTTTAACTTAATTAATCAGTATTGCAATGAAAATAACATTGATGTAACGGAAAACACGGAACTTGAAATAATTACAGATTTTGAAATAGCCGCAATAAACGCAATAAATGAAGTTTATCCGTTTGCTATGCATTCAACATGTTTCTTTCATTTCTGCCAAAATATCTATAGAAAAATACAAAATGTCGGGTTTATCTACAAAGTATTCAAATGATGCAGATTTTAATCTTTTAGCTAGACACATACCCGCAATGGCATTTTTGCCGATTGACATGGTACGGTATTAGTCATTAGATAATTAAAATATTAATTTAGTTATGATATTTTTATAATTATTTTGATTTTAGATTCAAGAAGCATGGTCTCTTTTAAAMCCTTTGTTCAATAATAATGATGAAGAAAATAGTCTAATAACATATGTTGAAGAAACTTACGTACTTGGAAAAATCGGTATAAGAACAAAGAATAGGCCTAATAATGTGCCTTCATAGAATCCTCCATTATTTTCACAAGACATTTGGTCAGTTTCCAATCGTGTTAGGTTAGAACTTCCAGGGATCATTTTTATCTCAGTGTATTGAAGAGATTCAGACAAAGGTCTGGGAGCTGGACTCAGATTAGTACATCCCCCTTGTAAAAAATACGTATAACTTTGGAAGGGATAAAGAACTAACGACGGGGTGAAATGCACTAACAAGCACTAACGAAGCACAAACGAATACAATTTGTTTGGACCCGAAATTCAAAATGGGGGTTGCAGCATGTCCCCAGCACCCCCCTGTAAGAAACGCGGATAACATTGGAAGGGATAAAAATTTGAAAAATAAAAGAATTTCATAGTCACAATTATTTCTTTTTATATGCATTCAAAGTTTGAATTTTGACAAAGTACGTAAAAATCACGAAAATTCACAAATTATTTTCAGGTAAAAATTCATAAAAAAATTTATTTTTAAATTTAAGATTTAAAAATTTAATACAAGATTCCTTACAAGTTTTTAAATCTGTATCACAAATAAAAAGTCCACCGGAAATTCAAATTAAATTTTTATGAGCATTTGAAATTTAAATTTTTACAACATTGGATTTT